TGTAATATGCAAAATCAATTTACAACATGATTAGTAAAGCTTCCAGAAAACATATCAGAAGTATTGTAATTATAATGTTTAAAGAAAAAGAATATGAAATCAATATATATACTACTTAATAGAAATAGAAATCAAAGAAGGTTGCTTACAATTATATTTACATCAGCAGAGGAAATAGAAGCAGCATAAACAAAACCAATAAGATTCAACAATCACTTACTCTTTTGACAAGATCACAAGAAAAGAAATAAAAAATATATAAACAAAAGTAAAAAGAAAAGATATATCAATGAGAACAATATTAGTAAAGGTTCAAATATTTAAGTTTATAGAAATATTAATCATGATGAAAGACAAAATAAAAATAACAAATACTACAATAACTACAAAAGAAACCAAACTAAAAATAAAGAAACACAACTACTGATGCATAAGATTAGAAACTCAACAAAGCTAGACAACTTTGGCTAATTATTTCTAAAGGTATACTAATTGAATCAATAAACTTAAACAAGGAGATTAGAGATTTTCTATAAAATAAAAGAAGAGTTTTTGAAAAGAAAAAAAAAGAAATATCTTTTAGTCTAAAAGAAAAAAAAACAGAAATAGAAAAGAAAAGATAGAAAACAAAATAACAATACAAAAAGAGTTAAAAAAAAAAATTAAAAAAAAGAAGAAAAGAAATCAAAATAGCATGTTATAATGTTAATAGACTGAAAACCAAAGGTTAAAAGCTAGAAAACTTGTTTGGTTAAGCAAAAAAAAAAATTATAATATTGAAAATTACAGAAATATACTTTACAAAAAGAAAAGAAAAATTTTTAATATATATAGTAAACAAAAGATATATAGAATTTTAGACAAATGCAGTAGAGGATAAAAAGAAAGGTTCAGATATTAGAATTATAGTTAATGAACAATAAAAAAAGCACATAGATGCTATTAATAAAATAAATTAATACATGATAAAAATCATACTATACTTTAAACAATTGAAGTTAGTAGTGATTGCAGTCTATATAATACTAAATAATAAAATAGTAAAAAAAAACATTCAGCAAAAAATTATAAAAACAGTCTTAAAAGGAAAAAGACAAACATAAATTATTATAATGAAGGATTTTAATTATACAATAATAATATTTTAGACAGATAATATCTACAAACAACAAACTACAAAAGACTACCAATCTTTAGTTGGATGAAGAATCAAGACTTTAGAGATATATATAGAAATATGAATCTAACAAGTTAACAATATATATAATTAGAGAATGGCAATCCTAGTATAGTAGTTGGGTTGTTATCCTTCAAGTGACAGGTCTAAGATTCAAATCCTACCTATGACGAAATTTGAAAATTATATTTGCACTGTCTTCTGTCGATCAGTTGGCCTCATGTAGCTATAAACCAGATACACCAAGTCAGGTCCTACTGATATTGGGAGCTTGGAGCATTTATGTGAAGTGTAATATTACATATACATAGAGGAATGTATAATCAGTGTTGCATAAGACTTCAATACAAACCCATGATAAGACCACCAAGCATAGAAGACTAAGGAATCAAGGTGACAGAAACCTACTTGGAAATTCTTGAGTAAAAAGATAGCATAAACTTTTGACAGTATCATCAAACTGGTTGAAGCCTACAAAACATCTTCATAGAAACTGAAGATTAAAACTGAACAGCAAATATGTGTAAAGGAGTATATAACCAACCAGGTCATCAGGTTTGCTGAAGAAAAAGAATACAGAAGTATATTATACCAGGCTATCTGAATTGGTAGTCTGGAATAAAACTGATGGTCTAAGTTATAGCTAGTAAAAGATGATAGAAAAGATGTCAGGAAAATAGATACTGGGGTTCTAGTGAACTTTACAAGAATAGAAATAGTGTGATATAGTGGTTAAACAGATAATCCCTGTGATTGCAAGTGTTAGGTAACTATAGCATATTGCATAAAACTAGGTCTATATATGTGGGACATAAAGGTTCTAATAAGTTTTTTGTCAAGAATAAAGTAGTTCTAAGGATAACAACTAGTATCAGGAACTTGGATAGGTGGTGCCTTGAGATGTTTTCATAATACAAAAAGGACTGCATATGCAGAAAGTTTAAATAGGCAAGACTTTTAGTTGGTTTGCTGATATGGTAACTAGTATAGAACTTATATAGTAATGTATAAGTGGATTACTTAAATTAGGCACCAAAAGTGCACATATGACTACTTGTAACCTCTAATGTAAGGTGAGCTCTTGGTAACATGCCATGTTCTAACATATTTGAATAAAAATATCACATCCTCAAGGCAGGGACTTTAACTTTAAAAAAAAACAATATATATAATCAAATAGAGAAACAACAATAAGAATTGATTATATATAGATATTAGATAGATTGATCTTAGGTTTACAAAAAACAGAAATTAAAGAAGCATAAAAAAGTACAAAAAATGATCACAAAATAGTAATAGCAGAGATATGGATCAAATATTGTATATAGTAGCAAAAAAAAACAAAACAGAGATTAAAAAAAAAGACAGTCAAGAACAATATATCTGTATGATCAAGCAAAATCAGAAAACTGAAAAAATTATATATAGAAATTACAAAACCAACTAGAAAAGAAAAAGGTATTAAAAGACATTTATAAGAAAAAACAAGATGAAGAAAGAAAAGCAAAGAAGATAAATAATATATGGAACATAATAGAAAAAGCAATTATTATTACAATAAATAAACATATATCTAAGAAAAAAATATACAATATAATAACAAATAGAAGAAAAAATTAGAAAAAATAATAACAAGAAGAAAGCATTGTTAAGTTTTAAAAATTAATTAAATATACAAAAATAAAAAAACCTAAACAATAACAGAAAAAGAAAGAAATAAAGTGAATAAATAATTAAAACTACTAGATAAGAGTCTGTAAATTGCCTATTTTTGAGACCTAATCTGATCCATATTTGGGTTAAAATTTTTTTGCTAGTCTAGTCTGGTTTGTATTTAGGATTAAAATTTTTTTGCTAATTCAGTCTAACTTATATATATTAAATTTTTTCTTCAACTCAGGCCACAAAAATTTCTTATATAATTTTACAAAATTTTAGATCTGATCTAACTTGTAATTATAAAATTTTGTAAATTTTTCAGTTTGAACTAGTTTGCAATTATAAAATTTTGTTTTAGGTCTGATCTGGCTTACAAACATTGTAAGTCAGATCAGACCAGGCCAGACTGCAAGATCCAATGCAGATCTCTAACACTAAATAAAAAAATTGATGTAAAATTATCTAGGCTGCAAAAACAATAATCAATTACATAAATAAAAAATATGAAGAATTAGAAAAAGTTATTATTAGAAAAGAAAAACAAAGATTGAAAATGAATATAAAGAAAACAAATAAAAAAAAATATCAATAAAAGATATAAAATAATTAGAACAAATCAAGGAAAGATGATAGTTAATCTTCTAAATAGGCTTTACAAAAAAATAATACTTGATAAATTTATCAAACAAGTAGAAAAAGAAACAAATCTACTAACAAAACCAGAAGATATTAGAATAGAAATAATAGAACATTACAAAAAACAATTTAGAAAAAGAAATACCAAGTTAAAAGAGATGTTAGAAGAGTAAAAAAAGATATATAAATCATGAAAAAATATTAAAAAGAAATGATATACAGAAGTTGAAAAAAGAAATAGAAAAAAAAGAATAGGATAAGATCTTAAAAGAACTAAAGATAAGAACAGCTTCAGGCTTATTAGACATAAGTTATATTCTAATAAAGTAAACAGAAAAAAAAATATAAGTATTCAAAAACTTTGCAGACTTATACCTAGAAGTAGAAAAGATACTAACCAAATAAAAGATAACACAAGTTTACCCAATACCAAAGAATATTGAATAGGGTATCTGGCATACTCAAAAAAATTGACATGCTATGTAGCATGCCATCTATTTATACAGTTTAAAATGTAGTGATTTTTCAAGTATCTAGACAGCTAATAGAAATAACAAACTTAAAATTTTTTCTTATAGTATATCAATCCTCAACCATGTAATATACACGGTATATTATAGTATATTCAATAAGATAGATAGATATGAACAATAAACATTAAATGTATAGCTATTACATTTGGCTATTTCTCAAGTATAAAATAAATGCAAAAGAACCTTGCATTGAGGCTATATACATGAACGTCAATAACGTGAATGCTAACCAATCAAAACAAGATACTTCAAAGGTTTTCAGCGTAATGAGAAAAATATATAAATAGGCTAAAAATATGTAATAGTAAAAAATTTTATCATCATTAATATTGTCGGTTATTTTGTAAAATGCAAATGTTTGCTTAGAAGCGAAAAATATCTTTTTTTACAAAATATACAGTTTGTCAATTTTATATGTGCTGTAACTTTAATTAAATTATTACCCTGAAAATTTTCTGACATTACTTTTGACCGATATTAATGAGTATAATAAGCTCACTTTTAGCAGACTGTATTTCACAAAGACGGGTTGCCGTCTAACTTTAAGACTTGCAGGTGTATGTGAAATACGAGTCTGTCTGCTAAAAGTGAGCTTATTATACTCATTAATGTAGTTTTTTGCTTAATCACAACTGTGGGAACGACATTTTTGCAGCCTTCAAAAATTCCCGAAATCGATCGGGCTTTTTTTTCCGGATCCTTATTTTAAAAAATCTGCGTATATTGCATTTCAACTTCACGATGATTATTCATTTTTCAAACCAGTTTAGACATTCACTTTTTCCGCTGAATTCTCTGATTCTGCAATTTAATTGGCCAAGTATGATATTTCGTCACATTTGCCGCATCATTACGGTGGTTTTCCATTATCATCTGATCTAGCATTGATAATTGATATATATATAAAATACAATTTGTGCGTTGTTACATATTTTTCTTTCTTGCAAAAGAACTTTTCACTAGATTTAAATTTGATATAATACTCCAGTATAAGGATGTATTCTAGCGAAACTATTGAACCACGAAGCGTACGATCGGTTATTGGAAGTGCAAATGGACGGTCTTCACAAAGGTTTGTATTTATTAGCGCGCTAGTACTCCCGATCTAGGCCGATTCTATTAATTTTAATATTTAATAGGAAAACGAGTAGTAGCAACACATCCGCTTCTTCACGCTTATTTATGAATGCGGTAAAGGATGCAAGTAGAAGTTTAAGGACGACAGGAGAGAAACATGGTTTGTTACATTCTTTTTGCTTTACGTCATTAAATAGAATCACATAATCGTTCTAACGTAATTACTTTTTTTTGTAAATGTTCAGAAGAAAATGGCACAGATAGGACAACTAAACGCTCTTATAGTCCGAGCCAAGATCAGCCTAAAGACGATCTAAAAACCAAAGCTCGAAAAGTTGAGAGTGAATCGAGTATAGACAAATACCGTGTGTACGAGACAGATCATTCTCAAGATAAAATATCTCGCATAAAACTTGAACGACAATCAGGTGATCAAGGGTTATATAATGTTTTGCAAGAAGAACACGATCATAGTAGATATGGTATGGAATGGTAGCTACATTGCAGGTTTTTAATTGTTGAACAGTTTTATAATGAATCTTTATTATTAACAGTTAATGAGCGGCGCCTTTCACAACAAAGTACACGGCAGATTCAACAACCGAGGAGTGTTTTAGATCGGTTAGGAAAAAAGGGTGGTTTGATGACTGCTTACATCAATCCTGCATTTATTCAAAATTCCAACGCCACTCCTATACCTACACAACCCAATAGCAATACCACACCAACATCTAAAATTTCTCGCTGTAGACATTGGCCTAATTGTGATCTTGGTGTTCAATGTAAATTTCATCATCCAACAGAAATTTGTCCGTAAGTTTTTGATAAATTTTGGTAAGAAATTTGACTAAATTACTCTAATAGCACTAAAACCTATTATCTTCCATTAGTATGGTTCCTAATTGCCCAAATTCACCACGAACTTGCTTGTACATTCATCCTGCAAATCAAGACTTCAACACATATGAACAAGGTGGCTTGTATAGACAAAATTCATTTGGCAATGGCACAGGTGGGCAAATAGCCTTTGGAAATCGTTCGGTTGATCCAAGTTCTTTCGGATTTGGTCCAATCGGACAAGATCCAATGAATCATTTCGTAGTTGGACAGAGCGTGGGAGGATTTAGCGGAATGGGACAGAATGTATTCGGACCTGGTTCATTCAATCAGAATAACATTCAACAAAGTTCATTTGGAACAAGTTTATATGGTCAAAATGCTCTTAAACAAGGTGTTCCTAATAAAGTTGGATCTGTACAAGGGTTAAATATCCAAGGCCAGCGAGGTACAGAACAGGAACCTAAATCCGGTGCTGGATCCGTAAACTCGACAACTTCTATCACAACGATCGCTTCAATCACTACTACTTCTAGAAATATTTCTACAGGGACATCTTCTCAAGATGCGGACGTTACACCATTACCGCAAAGTTCCCAAGCTCTTGCAGTTTTATGCAAATATGGTGAACATTGTGCAAATCCTAATTGTATGTATGCACATTCTAGTCCTGCAGCTGTTGGGACTGGTACAGTACCATCACCTATATTGGATGTGCCTTGCAAATATGGAACTGAGTGTGCCAATCCAAAATGTCATTACTCGCATCCATCTCCCGCCCATTGTATGTGTTATTTGTTACTTATTTTTTATTTATTTATTTTTTTTTGAAATAATATATAATATAATGTTTATTCTGTTATGATATAGTAATGGTTAATCAAGAGCCTTGCAGATTTTACCCTAATTGCCAAAATCCGGTGTGTCCATATTTACATGATAATAGGTATGTAATTTTGATAAACAATGGTAATGTATTTTTATATAATTAACACAACTTTATTATAGTGGTAATGTCGTTAAAGTACCAACGCCGTGTCGTAACGGAGCTCATTGTACGCGGAAAGATTGCCATTTTATGCATCCGTGGAATATGGAAACAGACAGTGCAAATATTCCGGTATATAAAATTTTTAAACAAATTGATATATATAGTATAATATATTGACTATATAATGTATTTCTCCCATTCAGTGTAAATTCGGATATAATTGCCGGAGGCCTGATTGCGCATATTCTCATCCAAATGGCAACAAAGATCACATACCAAACATCTCTGAACGTACATTTGTATCTGTACCTGACGAGATGACAGAGAAGATTATTCCATCTAAGAATAATAATGATGAGTCATTAGAGGTCAAAGATGTTGCAGATAATGGTGCACAATCGGAGGATGCCAAAAATAATAAAGAGAATGAAGTTGGTAATGAGACTACTAAAAGTAAGGAGACGGAGGAAGTACTCAATGATGAATTTAATTGGGATCTTGATTTTGATGTTGACGTTATATTAAATGATGATGCTTTTCATGGGGACATTGTTACGGATATTTGAAAGGTACATAATCTCACCTAGTGATTGTAGTCGATTAAAAACTTGTAAGCTTAGCCGAGTCGATAATTTGATATAGCTAATCGGGCTTAGTCGGTTATTATCCAAAAAATCAAATCTGCCATAATAAACTATAATCCGAAAATTTCCACTGGCCACGCTCGTATTTTGTGTTGTTTACTTTATATAAAAAAAAAAAATGTATAAAGTGTTGTATAGTGTTTACAAGCGAAAAAAAGAACATCGTTGCATCCAAAGTAAAAAAAAAAGGTCGTTATTTAATATTTTCAAAACGAAACTCATCCGGAATGTGGTGACATTTAGTGATACCAATCGAAAATCGATCAATCGAGTAGACCAAGTTGGCAACTAATCGATTAAAACTTGCGAGACAACTAATTATTTAATGATCGTCCGCTTAATGAACAAAGGCAGTGTCGTACGCGGACATTGTCCCATCAAAATTGCGCGGACACGGACAGTCCCGGACAGTGTCCCATGTCCCGGACAATATCCATGTCCGTGATGGTTGTCCCATGTAATATATTTTATCGAACAACCTGATTGGCTAACACGGCTGTTCTTATTATAAT